CGTATCGGCGAAGCCTTGTCTGGCGTTGCGATGATTCTCCGGTTTGACCAGAAAGTACGCATATGAGGATCAGCAACAGTTGCGGCCATGCGAAGCATTCCTGAGTTAGAACAGTTCTTAGCATCTCTGGCGCGCCCACGCGGTGTTACCGTTTCAGGGCTCTAATTGACACGGTTGTGTTTCAGCTTGCATGAGAGCCCACATGGGTGCACACGTGCATTCGTTGATGTTCATGATGTTGGGGCACGAGAAGGGAGAGATTTCCTGGCGTGTGTCGTTCCCCTCATTAGTATATACTGGCTCCGGGTATTGTGGCGCTGCGATCTGCCTCTGCCAAGCGCAGTGTGACACTACAGGTGGGCGGATAGACTTAATGCACCGCAGCAGAGCATGTGCAGCGCAATACGTGTTGGGAGGCAGAACCGGGTAGGTGGTGATTTGTGTCAAGCGTGCAGTATTGGTGACGGTCAGTTCGATCATGAATGATGGAGCATATTGTGGGAGGAAGGGGAATAGCGAAATGTGGGAAGGCCGCCGACGACGCACTTGTGTAAATGCTCACGGCGCTTGCACGAAGATACGCGGACCACGTTGTATATTTCGTAACTGGTGAGTAGCCGTGAGGAAAAAACAAAACGCAGTGCAAGCAGTTGGTTCGGTGTGGGCGTAATTTGCTGAGCGGTTCGGGGATTGGCGTAGGCTCAGCTGGTGCTGGCATCGCCGACTGTCCTTCGTCCGAGTTCGGCGCTTCAAGGCAAAGTGGCAGAGTCTCCATAGAACCGCAACATAGAAGGCACACGCAAGCAGGAAGCAGGCCCCTGGTCTGCGCGTCCGTGATTCTCGAAGCACCTCTCTAACTTTTCGATTTTCGTCGGTCTTCCAACACGACGGCATTCGGCAGGGAGCTCCCATGCAGCAAGATGTATCGCTGACAAGCTACTATTGAGCCTGCATTTGGATCCGTTGCTCGGTTGGATTCATGTTCGCCTGTCGAGAGGCGCATCGGAAGTATTTTGTGGAGAGGTAGGGAACTTGCATCTTCAAGGATCGTGGGTTTGCGCACTTTGTGTGT